AGGACGTCAAATAGACCCTAAAGGTACTACATTCATATATATATATGGGTGGTTGTAAAATTATGATCCTTTTTCGGGTACCCTACATATTAGGTGCCGTATTATCATAGGGACCCAAAAACGTACCATAATTTTGACAACCACCCATATACATATATATATATATATTTCCTGTCATGATGTAGTAGTTTCCATTTTCTTTTGCGTATTATACTTTCCATTTTTTTTTCCAGGATCCCTACATAATCCCTACATAATATGTAGGCTTGTTCACAACCCTGAGCGCCTCCGCGGGCGCACGGCGAGAAATGACCTCAGCATGAGGCGTTGCACCTGTTTGCGCAATCTCAAGCACCCTAAACCCTAAACCCTAGATCTTCAAGATAACTCCAGGCAGCGGATAGAGTCAGTCAAGTGGTGGAAGGTGAATGCTGAAGCTTTGCTTCGCCTGGTGGCGGAATCCTCGCAACGTTGAGGGCCAAGCATCAGTTCGACGTTGAGCGCCTACATCCGAGCAGTTTGCGTTGAGAGCCTGAGCAGTTCTCGTTTCTTTGAAGTTAATGAAGGGTGTTCTAGGCTTTAGCTTGGATGAGATGATGGCATCATTTGAGCTGAAGGAGATGCGCTGCCGAGAAAGTTCTTCAAAAGCTAACTACTATATTATAACAGGGTACATACACAATGGAAACTTCTATGTTATACTGAGGCCAAGAGCAGCTGCTGAGCAAGGTCTGCAGCTTGCTGGTGAACTTGGACGAGAAGATGGGGCGCATTGCATCCGCGCAGGACTTACTAGTGCTTAAGGGAGAGTGGGGGAGTGAACATAGGTACCATTATAGGGGTTCAGGGTTTAGAGTTGAAGGTGGGGGAGTGAATAGAGGTACCATTGTAGAGGTATATACAGGCATTACATAGGGATTATCATAGGGATCCACTTCCCCCACGCTCCGTTGAGCCTCGGCGCAGGACGACAGGTTGACTTGCTTCAGATTTCGGAAGAGTTTCTCAATCCCCTGGCTTCTTATTGGAAGTGGATCCCTATAATCATCCTACAGAAGCACGCCATTGGTGGAGGAAATCTTGCACCACCCAAAGACCCCTAACTCGCAATTGTCGTGGGGTCCGAAGTGGTGAAAGAGTTCCTTCATCCATGTTGCATGGAGGCTTCCCAAAATGAGGGGTCTACATAAGAATTTTCGTATTTTTGGGTTTATATAGGCGCCCCGATTTAGGGAAACTATCAAATTCACTCCCCCCAACCCTAAACCCTGAATCCTAAACCCTCACCCTAAACCATAAACCCTGAATCCCAAGTCCTGAAGCACCGGTCACAGGAGCGCTTGGAAGACAGCCTGCATCGGGTCGACCCGCCTGCTGGGGCCAATCGACTTCTTTAACTTCAGGGGGGCATAGAGTTTGGGGTTATATTGGGTCTCTATTAGGGCTATGTTGGGGTTGTGTTAGGGATGGGTTGGGTGGACCCCCCACCCTGTAATAGTGACTCTTTGGGATAATAAGCATTCTACTAATAGGGTCCTCTTATATCCTTATTATACTATTATATCCTCATTATACCGCTATTACGGGGTGGGGGGTTCCTCCTAGCGGATCGGGTCGTCTTGCGGATAAGCAGGGACCAAAAGAGGGATCGCGGGTCTGTATTGAGGATTCTACAAGGATTTTGAATAGCCTGGGTTGCCATAGGTTTAAGGTTTAGGGTTCGGGGCTTAGGGTTTAGGGCTTAGGGTTCAGGGTATAGGATTTAGGGCTTAGGGTTTAGGGTTACCGTCCAGCAATTCAAAAAGTCTTCTGGCCAGCCATGTTCTGGCCCGGAAATCTGACAGGTGGCACGGGCTCCCGTGTCGGCGCAAGGGCAGCAGCAGCGTCCCAGTCTCAATGATGGCGCAAGCACTCTCCGTCCTTGACTTCTTCCTACAGATGGTTGTTTCCGTAAATAAGAGGACCCCAATATAGACCCTCAAATACTACAATCCTTATTATGGGACCCCCAAAATGGTACACCTAATTCTGGGAAACAACCAAATTTAGAGTTCATGCTTGTAAAGATGATGCGTTCATGTTGAGCTGCTGCGAGCAACTTGCATGCGAGTCACAACCCTTTGACCCGTACTCATGCACCATTTGGGTACTTCTCAAGCTCATCCCTATGTAATCCTCAATAGGGACCCCTTTCATCGCTCATCCTGACATATGGTAGCTTCCCAAAATAGGGGGACCCCAATATAGACCCCAAAATACTGTAGTCCTGATTATACGGACCCCTCGAAAAGGTACTCCTAATTTTGGACGCCCCGCCCTTATCTCAGGGGTCTTCGGTACTCTGTAAACACCGCTTGCAGCAAGCTATGGCTACGTCGTGCTGGAAATCTTTGGAACAAGTAGCCTGGAAGCCTTTTGTCCCAATCCCAGTAATCCCGAAGCCTTATTCATCCCTTAGCCAGAACCACACCTAAACCCCCCATCATCCCGAAACCGTAATAATCCTTCAATTTGGGTTGCTGTTAAGGAACTTCGTTTTAGTTACTATACTGGGGAATCCCTTTTATTTATTATGTATACCCATTACCCCAAACCAAAAACCCTAATCCCTATATATCCCTATATACCAACATAATATGGTAACTTAGTTTAAGTTCCTTAACAGCAACCCAGTATTCCCCCAATCATGCCTCAACTGCGCTCGTCCCTGAGTCCTCATCTTCCCCAATCAGCCCTTAGCCCCAATCTTTCCTAAGCCCCCCATGCTGAGATATGGGGATTTCCAAAAAATTAGGGGGGTACCTTTAAACGGGTTTATAGGGGTTGTAAAGGGTTTAGGGTCTCCAAAAATTACTGGTACCATTTTGGGGTTCTCTATAAAAAGGTCATAGCCTTTTGCGGTCTATCTTGGGGTTCCCCTTGCGTATGTAGAGAAACTACCATGTCCCCGATATCCCGAATACTAATTCTTACCTAAGCCATAAACCCTAAACACTAAACCCTAAACCTTAAACATTAGACCCTAAACCCTAAACATTAAACCCTAAACCCTAAACATTAAACCCTAAACCCTAAACCTCTAGAAAAAAAGTCCGATAAACAACACGTATTGTATCAGGTGGGTCCCTGGTGCCGCCCCCCGGCAAGCCAGGCTACTCTGCGTCAGGCCTTGGACTCAAGATTTTTTCTCCTTCCAAGGTTTAGGGTGCACGGTTTAGGGTTTAGGGTCCGTCCAAGGTTTAGGGTTTCTAGTAACCACTCCCCCAGAATCAAGGTTTTAAGGTTTTATTGTACCATGGTCCATTGGGAGTGCGCATGATTAGGGAGTTGGGGTTTGATTGTGCTATCCTCTCAAGATTTCTTCCAGGCGATGGGGGTTGGTTGACATGAATTCTTCTGATTTCATCAGTGTGGTTGAGCTTTGTGTACTGGTGCCAACTGTCCGTGCAGCACTGCGCCTTCCGCGTCTAGGCAAGCTGAACTGCATGCGTTGCGATTCCCAAGACAACGAAGCTACTGCTATCTCCAACATGCAGTTTACAGTCCCTCTCTTCTGTTGGATGATGAGGCGGTCGTTCAAATCTTCGTTATACTGCAACCCTTTCTTGGGCTAGCTGCTAGCGTTGCAACGTACAGGTGCCCCGCAAGGTCCAACGCTGGAGGACAGCGCTGCCAGCGTCTAGATTATCAGCCGGTTCGCTTTCATTTTGCAGTGTTTCATGGCTTTCACTTTTTTAAATGTCATCATGGTTATTTTCATTACCATTCTTCCTGCTTTTAGTGCTACAATAGCGGGGACGCTCCTCAGCAAGCGGTTGAGTACTGGTGCTCCACGTGCTCCATGCATCATTCTCTGCTAGGAACAGCGTTTGCAGCAAGAGCGCCTAGCAGCTGTGCGTGCCTAAGGTAGGAAGGTGCGGAGAGAGATGTGCTGTCACATGTTTGCTTGGCTAATTCCTAGATCCTCAGCAGGCATTCGTTTCATCAGGCCGAGCCAGTAAACCTTTCACTTTCTGCAACTTCCTCTATAATCAAGTCCTCTGCGACTTCTGATACTTGCTATGGTCATGGTCATATACTACGATTACTGTAGGCCTTGCATGCCCGCTTTACTTCGCTGAGGAGAGGTTGCGAATGGAGGAGGAGAATCGTCGGCGGGCCGAGGTATTCTCGGCCTTACATCTTGTTGGCTGGGAATGAAGGAAAATCAAAGGTAAGTGGCCGGCGCAAGGTTTTCTTGCGTTTCTCCAGGGGGCATGTGGAATTTTACTACGGTTACGGGGCCAAATCGACCGGCCCCATAGTGAACATCTGAGCTTTCAGTGATGGCAGCTTTGGTTCTGCCAGGTGTTTGGGTATCCTTGGATTTTGACCTTTGAGGGCAGCGCAAGCTTCACGTGCAGTCGAGCTTCTGAAATTTAAGTTCTATACTAGACTGTACATGGACCCCAATATACTATAACCCTCATTATGGGGACCCCCAAAAAAGGTACCCCTAATTTTGGGAAATCCCCACATACACTTCCCAGTAGGCATAGCATCACTGAAACACCAACGCTTCATGCAGAAGCTGCCAGGAGATGAATCGAAGAAAAGAGGAGGAAGAACGCCGCAAGCGAGAGGATGGCGTGGTCTTTGTAGAGTCTTTGAAGATAACAACCTGCGTGTAGGTAGCGGATATTCCAAATTTTGAGGTTATGTTACTGCATTACCATTATTTAAAATTTGTGGTGCCTTTTTGGCTTTGTGGGGGTCCTCATTCTTAAGGGCTACAGGGAAACGACCACATTTGGAGGGGGTTGAAACTCTAAGCCCTGAACCCTAAACGCTAGACCCCAAACCCTAGACCCTTGTGCCAGGAGGAGGAGCGCTGGCGCCAGGAAGAGGAAAGGAGGCGAGAAGAGGCACGCAAGTAAGCCACATGTGAGTAGTATTTTATTTGGTGATAGTATATAGACCCTAACATAGAGCAAGACTACATCATCCTTTTGGGTATAGTATCTTAAAATATGAGGAATATCATTTTACTTGCTTCAACCACCAAACAACCGCTACTCATATGTTTTGCTGGCTTGGGTGTAGGACTGCCCCCAAATGGGCTAAGCTGCAGGTTTAGTTTACAAGATTCTCTTGGGTTTAGGGTTGAGGGTTAAGGGTCTAGGGTCTAGGGTCTTGGGTTTAGGGTGCAGTCATTTTTTTTACAAAGGTGTGGCTCCGTCCTGGTGTGTGGCTCTGGTCCCTTGATCCTGTGGTCTTCTGGTGCCGTGGTCCTCAGGTCCGGTGGTCTGGTCCCCGGTCTTGGAAATGCTGTAATTTGCAGCATTTGAAATGCTCCCAGACCAAAAAACTATGTAAGTTAGAGCATGTGAAGCATTCCATGACCAGCAGATATTGTAATTCGCAGCATCTGAAACGTTCCGAGACTAGCAAATGCCGTGATCTATAGCATTTGAGACGTAGCAAGACCAGCATTTGAAGCGTTCCAAGACGAGCAAACGCTGTATTTTGCAGCAGTTGAGACGTTAATTAAAAGGACCTGCGGCTACTACAACTTGCAGCGTTGGAAGCGTTCCAAGACCGAAAAGGAGCGAGCCGCACGTTTGCAAAGAACAAGCCCGAGCCCCACACCTTTGCAAAAAAAGCCTCTGCCTTGGGTCCTGACTCGCGTGGTTGTCAGAGCCGCTCTGCCCTTGGGCTTGGGGTTTAGGGGTTTGGAGCTTAGGTTCTGATAGAGATTTACTTATAGGGTGGACTTGATCTTCGTCCTAAGCCCTTGCAGCCTAAACCCTAAACTACACAATATCCCTTCAGGAGCGTCAGCGGAGGGAGGAGCTGGGAAAGAAGACCAGTGGCCTCATGTGTGGCAGCTCAGAGGGGGAGATAGGGGCTGGCCACATCTGACTTGCAGGGTGGAGATGTCTGCTGGGAACAGGTCTTAGGGGTTTAGGGGTTAAGGGATTTGGGGGTTTAGGGGTTTAGGGATTTAGGGGTTTAGGGATTTAGGGTTCAGGGTGTAGGTTTTAGGGGTTTAGGGTTGAGGGTTGCAAGCAGTGCGGGAACAGAAGAAGCCGAGTTCCTCCAGTGAATTCAAGTGACAAAGAGTTGGGAGATCCTTGAAGAACAACACTTTCAGGAAAGTAAACTCCCTAAACCCCAAGCCCTAAACCCTAAACCCTTAAAACCCCAACTCAAAAGCCCTAAACCCCTAACTGCAGCACCTCAAGCCGTGAACCCCTAAAACCATCCAGCATCAAAACGAAGACCACAGTTTCTGGAGGTCCGGCCTTCTCTCCAGTGGTGGAGGTGGCGGTGGTGGTTTGTGTGGCGGCCAAGCTGTCAGATACTATTCTGCTTGATAGGGTTTAGGGCTTAGGGCTTGGGGTTTGGGGATGCAGGGGATTAGGGCTTAGGGTTTGGGGCTGAGGGTTTGGCTGAGGGTTTAGGGCTCCGGGTTGAACTGTTTGGGTTTGTCACCCTAAACCCTAAACATCAAAACCTAAGCCCTAAACCCTAAACCCTAAACTCTTAACCCTAAACCCGACACCCCTAAACCTCAAGCCCTAAACCCTAAACCTTAAACCCTGAACCCTAAACCCTAAACCGAGTAGCAGTCTCTAACACTCGAGCGATGGGCTGCTGCTGATCAGTAGTTAGTACTTGCCTCTGTGCTTGATTCTCCGGGGGTCTTCCGTGGCCTCCTCGCGGAGCAAACTAAGGAACTTCGGAGTGGGCTTCGCGACGAGATGGAGGCGGCAGTGGAGAAAACAGAGAAGCGACTTATGAAAGTTGTGGAGGGCGTGAGGTCCGACTTGACTACGCAGATGGTGGCTAACCATAAGGCTGTCAAGAAGGTCGAGGCTGATTACCAGACCATTCTGAACCGGCTGGAGGTGCTCGAGAAGGGTGGGCCTGGGTCAGTTGGCTCCCGGAGGGGCCCGGCGATTGTGTTTGGAGGCTGGAGAACTGACACGAAACGATCGCTCATCCTCTCGGACCTCACTGGAGTGCTTAAGGATGCGCAGGTTGAAGGAACCATGGATCAGCAGCCCTGGGTGCCGGGCGTGCGTCACAGTGTGGCCATTGCCAACTTCAGCCAAAGAACGGGGGAGAATGCCGATGGAGTCACTGCGCGTATGCTGGCCGTCATCTCGGCGGTCAACTTTGCTGCAGTGCAGTCTGAGAACACGGCCCTGGGAAGGTCGATCTGGGCGGCAATTAGCAGACCTAGAACCGAAAGAGGGCCGGGTTTTCACTGTGGCAAGGTGCGGAAGTTGCTCTACCAGGCGGGGGGTTGGAATCCAAGATGCGGAATGCCAGTATAGCAGTGGAAGTCTGTGGCTGCGTGATTAACTGGTGGCATCTGTCGAAAAGCCGCGTAACCACCAGAGGGTCGCGAAGGGCAGCATGGAACACTCGTGGGTGGACCTCGAGCTCCTTGGCAAGATCACGGGCAAAAAAGCGGATGATCTGGCGAGCGCATGGGATGATATCGTGAAGGGCTGACCAAGTAGGGTTTGTGTTGCTGAACAATTGGAGCGGCGAAGAGATCTTCATAACCTTCGGGGACAAGGCCGGGAGGGAAACTTGGAGATGAGTGCCGTTCCGGTGCACGTTTTTGACGAACAGATGGGCCTCGGGAATTCGATGACCCACCGTGACCCGGCAGAGCCGGGGAACCCCTTTCTACAAGTATGTACACGTGATGAGCGCCCGACCGCAATGCAGGAGGGCGAGACTTTGATTTCCGTTGGTGATGCGCAGATGCAGAGCAGAGAGCGAGCTGCAATTAGCAGTCCCCCCTCTGGGATCAACAAGGGCTGCCCACTCTCTGGGCCCATGTACTTTCACCCTGATGACTGCTCGGATGGGGAAGCAGTTGACCGTCCCATGGGGACCCCAGAGGGACCGCCAGCTGTCCCTGTGTTGACTGGAGACCAGCAGGTGCCGCCAGCGCAAAAGGTCCGAGTGACGATGGCGACATGGAACCTTGCTGGAGTGTGTGCTAGGGACGTCGCGGCAGTGTTTGATCATGTTGTGCAGTGTGATGTGGTTGCGGTCCAGGAATTCCCTAAACAACCTGCTGGCTGGAAAACCATTGAGACTGATGCCTACAGCATGATTGTGCACCAGAACCATGCCATGTATCGAGGGGTAGGGTTCATGTACCGCAAGAAGCAGTTCATGCTTGTGCAGAAGCTTGCTACACAAAGAGGTATGTGGGCGAAACTCCGACATGTGCAGTCTGGCGTCGCGGTTTGGATCGGGTCCCTACACTTACCCAATAGCGAGCCCAAAGAGGAGATTCAGCGTAACATGGGGGAGTTTGCCAAACAACTGCCGAAGGGGGCTGATCGGGCTGTGGCGCTGGGAGACTTTAACATCCAGTTCAAATGGCGCGAGGGTGTGGAAGGGGTGCAGACGGACGTGCTTTCCTCCAAATGGGCGATGCTTAGACAGTGCATGGCGGAGGTGGGCTTGCAGCAAGTAGCCCCAGCGGCTGCTCAGATGCACTTGCCGACCTTCCATTCTAGGAAGGGAAGCACACAGATCGACGGGGCGTTCTTGTCGGGAAATGTCAATGTGACCATGGATATCCAGCAGGGTAGTAGACATGAAGTTGGCACTGATCACGATAGAGTCCAGCTGGCTGTAACCTTGAAGGCTGTGTGGGGGGCCCCCCCAAAATCAAAGGAGACGTGGTGGGCCCAGGATGCTACGGTCTACCCCTCCCCAACACCAGGTCACCCAAGAGTCGCTTGTGCTTGCTGCACGGCGCACCAAGCCCCTTTTTCTTGGACCCAAGTTCCACCCTAGCCCTGCTACCTGCACTTTGCGTCAAATGGCTCACGCGGGTAGGGACCCCACTCTCTGGAAGCAATACCGAACGCACCTCAGAAGGGAAAAAGGAGTGGCAGGGGGAAAGGATTGACAGGGCTTGCGAGGACTGGGGACATTCAACAACACTTTACGAGCACCTTCATGATGCCAGGCAGGTGCAGGGGATGCGGGATGCGAAACCTGGAAAACATCCTGAGCTCACTACCATTTGGGAGTCCGTTCACAGCTGAGGAGGTTCGGGAGGCTGTGGCGAAAGGGAAACGGGGTAGAGCGGTGGGCCCTGACAGGGTGGCTACGGAGTTACTTCAAGCAATGGTGAAAGACCCATCCTCACTGGAGTCCCTGACCCAATTCTTCAGTGGCATACTGGCCACTGGCCAGACCCCCCTAGATTGGGACAAATCCATAGTGAGCTTGCTGCCCAAGCCCCACCTGCCCCAGGGATTTGAGGCCTATAGCGCTGGCCTCTCACATTAGTAAGGCCTTTGCCAGATTACTACTTTCCCGCCTCTCTGAGCCGCTCCAGGTACGAGGATACAAGCAGTTTGCTGCAAAAGGTAGGCAACCCGCTGAATTTCTCTGGGTTGCGCTCCAAACCCTGCAGTTATCCAAAGAATGGAGGGGTGAAGCCTACATTCTCAAGCTTGATCTTCGTAAGGCGTTCGACGGTGTGTACAGGGACAAGTTGGCTGAAAAGATTGTCCAGTGGTGTCAGGGAAGGTTTCCAGATGAAGTTCGGTGCCTCGTTAGGATGCTCATGAGCAGCGACATGGTAGTCGCCCTATTCTGGAACGACCACCCCGTGGACGCCAACATCGGGGTCAAACAAGGAGCCCCGGTTCTGTTTGCTAGACTGTTGGATGACCTCCTGTCTGACATTTGCATGGAACAGGAAGGAATACCTGTCGATGGGGCTTGTTACATGGACGACATTCTCGGGTGGAAGTCCTCCATTGAGGGCATGCAGAAGTTTGTCGATGTCTTAGTCCCTAAGCTGGCTGCGTTCGGCCTCCGTGTTCAACCCGCCAAGTGCAAACTCATGTGCGTACGTGGTTCCCGTGTAAAGCCCCTGTATATCGATGGTCAGCAGCTGATGCCACTGCCAGAGGGGGAGGCGCTCTACGTCATGAACTTACCTTTGTTGCTTGAGGCCACTGAGGTGCGAATCATTGAGCATTTGGTTGACAGGGCGCGCAAGAAGTTCTATGGCATTCTCCACCTTCTGACATCCAAAGCACCCCTAGGCAAGAGGTTCGTCTCCTCAACACGGTGGTCTTTGGTGTGATTAGTAGGTGCAATCTACCCCTCACCGCAGACACAGGGCATCCTGAACTACTTCCAGTACAATTGTGTACGACGCATGATGGGGATTGCGAGGGGGAGGGACGAGCTGTGGGTCGACTATGAGGCCAGGTCCCTCAGGGTAGCCAGAGCAATGGTCCACAGGGTGGATGGCAAAAGATGGGAGACAGGCAGGTGGCTGCGTTTTGGGACTTTCTGGGGCACAGGGCCAGGGACCCCCTCAAACCTGTTCCATCTGCGGCGGGCCTCCTGACTCACTTTAGGGGACTTCAGTGGTGGCGGGACCAGCAAAATTTGCAGGGAGGGCGCCGACATGGAAGACACTTCCCACATTTAATGAACATTGAGAGCAAAATTGAGCAAGCCACACACACAGCAGCGTGGAGGGATCTTGCTGCATGCAGACCAACTTGGAAATCGTTTAAAACAACGTGGTGTAACAACGTGGAAGTTGCATGGTGCTCAGGGCGGCAGCTGTCATTGCAGACATGTTGAGGAAGGGAAGTGATGCTGTGTGGCCGTGAATGAACCAAGTCTAGTGGTGATAGCGGAAGCGCAGTGCTACTCCACTCTTTTGACTGCCACCGCCATGGGTGCGCTTGGCCTTTGCTACATGTACTTTGTCCTCGTGCGGAAGGGCCTCTCCGGAGGAGTTCTTGAGCCTGGACCTACGTTTCCTTGCCGACGTGATGTTGGCACCCAACCGGTGGCCCGGGGACCGCGCGGACCTGCCGCTGGGGCTGCAGCAGGTTGAGGGCAGTGGTAGCACCTATCGTGGCGACCAGACCGGTGGCCCCATCTGCAAACAGAAGGCAGTGACAGCGCTCCGCATGGTGACCTGACCCATGGCCGCACGGGGGAGCAAGAGAACTGCAGCGGCGTGATGGCGAGGGAGGACGAGGACCTGGCACTCATGCAAAGGAGAAAGAGGGGAAGGTCACCCTCACCAAGGAGGCGTCGCTGACACCAGCAAAGAAATGATGAAAGGCAAAGGGCGGCAAATCGACAGAAATGGCTGTGAACAGATCAGGGCCAGGGAAAAGGAAGACTGTCTGCAGCCCCGACATCCACGACATCGACGGTGAGACTCACAGATAGGCCAGCGCCGTGGTCCAGACAGGGGAGGACGTCGGCGCCTGTGGTCACAGTGGATGATGGCCCGGTAGGATCCTCGGGGGCGACGTCCAGCGGTGCCGCGCCGTTGGTGGGGAATGTGCCGCGACTGCCGAACTTGGATGAGTTAGATGGCCGCATTAGATGGTGGTCCGATCTCATTGGATTAACAGATGCGCTTGACGATGAGCCGGGCCAACAGCTGCTTTCTCCAAACGTGAGCCAGAGTATCGTCGCGAACTTACAGTGCCAGAGTAGTGAGGAGAGGGCAGGCAACGTGGCTGCGCTACTCTCTTTTGTCGGCCTATTTATAGGCGAGCTAATGCGCGCAGTTTATCAGGCGGAGCACGGCGAACAAGTCTCGTTGTTGCAACTGGGGGCTGACTTCCTCGACTATGAGCAGACGAACCTCATGCAGAGCTCCGTGAAAACCGGGCCGGGCAACTTTGCTGCCAAGCTGGTGGAGCTGCAGGCTGCGCTGGACGCGTGGAGCAAACCCCGGCGGCTGGAGTGGCGAGCCTACTTCTTCGAAAGCTTGACCAGCATGCGGGCCTCCGAAGGGGTGGAATGCGCAGCGAGGACCGCAGAGCAAGGGCCCAAGCACTGCTGGTGACATACGAGACTTCGTGTGAAGCAGCTGAGGAAGAAGATGTGACCAGGGCTGAACAGGCATGGGGCAGGATTCTGCCGTTCCTGGAGGAATCCTCCGCTAGCGATGAGGCCAGGGGGTCCAATGAGGTTACCTTGAATGCGGCGGCGGCTGGGGCGTTGGACAGCGACGATGAGGGGATCAGGGTGAGGCGACCTGGAGCAGCGTCGTGGACGAGACCAACGCCGGAGGAGAAGGCAGAGCTAAAAAAGCATGACCAGGACGTGAAAAAGGAGGAGTCTTGGCAGCAGGAGGCGGACCTTCACTCCTACAATGTCTACCAGGCGGGTGTTACGAGGGATTGGGGTGACTGGGTCATGCGCTCCGCGCTACAGGGAACAGAGGACCGCTTGCGTAAGAGGGTCAAGGTGGAACTGTCGCTCCGCACCGGAGGCGATTGTGGGTGTGATGCTGGCGGGAGAGCAGGCGACACTCCAGTTGGCCACGACGGAGCAGGTGTTGGAGGCAGAGCACGATGGGGAGAGTGAACAGGTGGAAGCGGCCACTCCGAAAATCCGTCCTGGTGCCGTCGCAGCAGCAGCAGGACCTGCCGCAGGAGAACCTGGACAACATCCTCCACACGGACCACGGAAAGGCGTGGTTCGAGCTCTTCTGCGTGGCGCAGGTCATGGAGGATGACAGCTTTAACTTGGAAGACCGCCGCGCTGAGGAACATCGTTCCAGCTGAGGGCGGTCCAGACGCAAATGCAGCAGAACGCCTCCCAGGAGCAGGGCGTCGACAAGGAGGATGGGGAGACCGACGGCATGGCGCCAGTGGAAACTGGGGCCCCGGGAGCGTGGACAGACCTTCGGGAAAACGACGGAATGGTGGCTGGTCATCGAGGGCCATTGGCTCGGTCACTGGCTATGTCGCCCCAATGGAAGAGGGACAGGTGGACGCCGAGGAAGTGGTCATCTTTGAGGGGGAGAGAGACGTCTGAGGAGGACGAGCTGGAAGGTCGGCAGCGGGACGGGAACATCACGCACTTTATGCAGCGCGACCTGACTGTCACTTTTGGCCAGCGCCTCAACCAGCTGCTGAAAGAGCTTGAAGCAATGCCCAAAGCCAACGCAGCCAGATTGGCAAGGTTCCTGGAGCAGATGCTCGTGGACTACAAGCGGCCCTCACCTCACCTGCGTCACCCGCGGGCTGACGGCCTTACTCTCGGTGTTTGCGGAGGATGAAGCAGAGCTGCGGGGAGACGTGGTGCCCTCCACTCCTGGCAAAACCTACTGAGGCATCTGGAAGACTTGGAGCTGGGGGTGGATGAAGACATCCCAGAGCCGCCGCGGCCCAGCTCTAGCAATGTCGTGGAGGTAGTGGACAGTCAAGACGCAACGCAGCAAGACGGCAGCCGTGTGTCCGTGGTCGTGCAGGAGAACGGCACTACGCGTCCGCTCAATGACGAGGAGGACAGGCAGATCCAGGAGAACGAGCTCTGGGAGGAGGAAGCAGCTTACCAGCTGCGAAAGGAGGATGAACAGCTCTGGGATGAGTTCCAGGCCAGTGAACTCCGTACCTGGGAGACCTGGATGGTGAGCTCGGGACAAGTGTCACAGGGTGTCAAACGAGCAAGAGTGCAGGTACTGGTTCAGGGAGAAGGCGGCAGGATCATAAAGCGGGAGAACTGGATGTTTGGCCTGCGGGAGGGCGAGTTCTTGTCGTACAACGTCAACATCCACGCGGCCGAGGGCAGCGATGCGGAGGATGCGGGCGATCCGGCAGCGGCCTCCTCCGAGGACAGGGCGCCGCAGGCTGCACAAGATGAAAGTGAAGGGGCTGCATGCCTGGATACCCTGCCAGTTACGTGTCTGGCGGCGCCGGACATGCGGTCGGGGCCGGATGTCTCCCGCGGCCGTGAGCTCGATGTCAGGAAGTTCGTCCAGTCGCAGCAGGGCGCGCAGGTGTTCCAGGAGTGGAAGAAGGGAAAGCTCACCGACCGAGCAATAGGTCAACAGTATGGATATGGCGTGCTCGGGCACTTCTATGGACAGCGAGACTGGGAGCTGGGCACCTTTGGAGAAGACAGCTCGCCTTTGACGATGGTGGCAGAGAGTGGACCTGCTCGGGGAGTGAACCCCGCGGCTGGTGGCTCGTGTGAGGCCTCTGAGGAGATGCTTGGTGGCGCTGCTGTCAGCAGTGATGCTGCGGCGTTGGCTGGAGACGACTACGAGCAGGAGGGTGAAGCGGCTCAGGCGATGGCTTCTGCGGGGACTGAGGGGCTGCCGAGTAGCTCAGTGTTGACAGGGAGTAGGCAAGCAAGTTTGTCGCACTGGCTATTGAGGGACCCGGAATAGGGCCCGTCGAGCGTGCGGAGCATGGCAATAGTGCCTGAGTTTTAGTGGTGCGCACAGGACTGTGCCGAAAGGCATCGCCAGGATTCCTGGAGAAAAGGTCCCACAAAAAAAAAAAACCTTAAACCCGAAACCGCCCTTGTCTATGAGTTGATTTCAGTTGGGAGGCCAGCAGGAGCCGACCGGATAGGACCATCCCTAAACCCCAACCTTTTAAAATTTTAAACCCTAAACTCTTTTCTTAGAGAAAGGATCCCGGGGGTCACATTAGGCCCTTGTGGGACTCTTACGGAGGGTAGAGGGGTTTAGGTTTTAGGGTTTAGTGTTCAGGGTTTAGGGTGTAGGGTTTAGGGTTTAGGGTCTAGGGTCTAGGGGATTCAGAATCCTACTAGGGGCTGACAATGCTTTGGATCGTGCAGGCGACATTTGCATTTGATCCTTAACGAGCAGGGCAAGGGATGTCGCAGAAGCGGGAGTTCATCGTTGCAGGTGCATGGATGCCATAGGTACATCCCTCAAAATTTGATGGCATCGTCCGCAGTCTTAGGAATCTTGGGAGCTATACTATAATATAACCCCAATATACTAAAGTAGTTTCCATTTTCTTTTCCATTATACCCTATATATAACCCCTATATAACCCTATCTATCCTTTTATAGTCTATACCTCATATATGACCCCTTAACCCATATATATATATATATCTCTCCCTTTATAACCCCTTATAGATGTTTGTGCAGCCCTGTAGAATTTTGGCTGGGCTCAGGTTTGGCGACGAGGAACCCAAGCGGAACAGCAAAGGTGGCCTCTTCGACGACTAGGCGCAAGACTCTCTAAACCCTAATCCCCAAACCCTAAACCCCAAACCCTGTGCCAGAAAAGGTGCGAAAGGGTGTTAAAAAAATCCAAACCCCAAACCCTAAACCCTAAACTTTAGCATCCTCCACCCCTTCTTCCTGGAAGTCACTCTGCAGACTACTCTAGGTTATAGGTCGGAATACAATTATCATGGGGACAACTATAAGGGATATTACAGGGGATACTAGGAGCTTAGAGTATACAAAGTTAGTCGACCCGTGGGAAGACCCATGGCAGCTTGTTGTATAGTAGTTTCCATTTTCTTTTCCATTATCCCTATATAACCCCAATATCACCCTATAATCCCTATATAACCCATTATGGTAGTTTCCATTTTCTTTTCCATTACCCCAATATAACCCCAATATCACCCTATGGCAGGTTCATGAACGTCTCTGGAGCGTCTCGTCTCTGCGGGCCCTCGCTGAGCTGGTCGATTGGGACATGTTAGTCGAAGAGCGCCAGAGCCCTCCTCGTCGGGCGTGGCTCTCGTCATTTTATTCAGCCCGTACATTATAGCATATTATAGTTCATTATAGTATATTGTAGTATATTATTAGAGATTGTCATATTACAAGAGGTCCAGGCCGATTTGGGGGCTGCTTGATTCTGAATCAGATGCGCATCTGCGTTGAAAATGGAACCGAGCCTGTATTTGCCTGTGAGTCTTAGTGGCATGACCAATACAATCAAATACACTTGCAGACCGTCCATGGGAACATGTTCCGTCGAGCACTCGTTTGCCGACAGTCTGAAGGTGTTTTTCAACTAGCTGACGTTTGTGTCGTGTAGTATTTGCAAAAGTGTACTGTGGAACAGACTTCACATCTTTTCTGCCACCTGCCCTTCTACCTTTGGCTGAAGAAGGGCCACCAGGCCCAGTGTTTCAGCAAGTTTTCGTCGTGTTTCAAATCCATCATGCGCATGGGTCTATGCCACCTTGCAACACTTCTCCCGGCTGTGCTCGCTCTTCGCCAAGCGGAAGAAGGTGGCCGTGGAACTCTCTGCTGTGTCTCCTCATACCCGGATCTGGGTGTTCAGAGCTCTGAGTTCCAAAAAGAGGCAGAGAAAGTCCTCGAAGATGTGGCCTACACTGGAGCTTACTATGCAGGACCGAAAAGGTATCACTCCGCACGCTTCAGGAGGCACTGCAAGGATGCCCTACATCTCAAAAACTGCCCCAGCATGGATGTGACATTCATGAAGATCTATGAGCATGTCCCCTTGTCCGACATCGAGAGCAGGATTGATAGTTTCCTGACTACCTGGCATTTCCATTCCGAGTCATACTGGGCCTTTGCTGGGGAGTGTCCCGGGCACCTGCAGCGCCAGAAAGAAGATCCATCCCGCTGCTCTGAGGACCATATACTGAAGGTTATAGTCCCCCTTAAGTGGATAGAATATGGCTTTGGGTAGATTATAAGAAGATCCTCATATACCCCATATTCTATCTACTTCAGGACTATAGGGTTTAGGGTTTAGGGTTTGGAGGCTTCAGATTTCCTTCCTGATGTCTTACATCGGTTTTGACAAGAGTTTGTTGAGCAGCATGTCAACTTGGGCTATCTTCAGCGGGAAGGATGGAAGGTATGACTGCACCCACCCCAACAAATCATAGAACAAGGAAGCACTGACTTTCACACTTTATGGAGGAAGCTCTGGGTTTGGAGTGTCATATCGTATTTGGCATGCCTGCTCTGTCTTTGTTCCTTGTTAGCAGGGCTCTGAGCGCCATAATTACCAGGAGCTGCCTCTCCTCTTCGTGCCTGCCTGTCTTGCTCTCGTTGCTCTTGGTGCACTCATTGCTCTTGTCGCTCTCGTTGCTCTTGCTGTTGTTGCTGTTGTCGCATGCTGACAGCGGTGCTAGAGAATTTTCAAGGCAGGAACTGTGCCAGGATCAGTAAGAAGGAACGGGCATAGCAGGTACACACTCATTTTTTTGAATCTCTGTTTTCTTGAAACGGATACTGTGACCTCAGCAGGACCTAGGGCACTTCATGCGCATGCTGGAGCTGTGGAAAGATGGCCTGAAGTATGCAGATGAGGTCAAGAAAAACTCTGGCTTTCGAGGCTGGTTGAAGGACAAAAAGAGCAAAGCCCTGGCAGAGAAGAAGCTGGAGAACATCATGGCTGAGCTTGATGCTCTTTGGTAGAACTTGCATGGAGGCGCGGAGGTGCTGGCGCTGGCTGAAGCAGTAAAAGTCGTCAGCCTGAGCGTAGAGTGTGCTACCTTGCTGGGATCCCATGCTGCACGTCAAATCGTAAGTTGCGCTCTGCGGATCCAGAGGTAGACAACATGGTTATATAGGGATAATGGAAAATGAAAGGGAAACTACTATAACGTGTTATATAGGGATTATGGGTATATATCGGGGTTTATAGGGTATATCTTGGGGTTATGCTATAGGGTATTCTATAGCTTCGTTGGAGTGACATGCACTGTGCTCTATGCATCCTTGACTGGCTCAAGCATTGACTGGGTCCTCTGCCAGCACCAAGGCTGGCCAATTCAGGGCCACACCGGAAACCAGCGCAACTGCATCCAAAGTCGGGTGTAGGGTTTAGGGTTTAGGGGTCCGTTTCCGTGCAGTTCAACAGCTAAAGGGAGTTCTGATTGCATTCTCAGCGCTATGGCGCGGCTGAAGAAGCGCAAGGTCCGGGGTCTGCATAGTCAGGAGCAGTTGTGCTATGTTATAGAAACAGTATAATAATGATATTAGAGTATAAGAATAGTATAATCACATATCAATAAGTATACTAATAGTATAGTAATCTTATAATACCAGTATTGTGACATCATAAACTGCAAAGGGTCTCTGACAGCGCTCTTGTGAAACGCAGACTTGTTTGGCGCTTTCTGGTTGTCGTCAGAGTGCACGCCACTTCGGCCTGTCCTTTTGCTCAGAGAAGTACAGGCAGTCGACCGTACGGATGATAACAAATGGCAGGAGGTGTTAAGTGGTTTCATGCATGCCGCTTTAGCTGAGGCCGTTGAAAGTTTAACTATCACCTCTTTCAGCCGGTGCTTGTTTGGATATAGCCTGTGCGGGAAGTCTAGAGGTACGTAAGGTACTATCACCTGCCTTGGTCCCCTTGTGGGCTTATAAGCCTCAAGCCAGACCCTTTAGCCCAGCTAAGCTTCCACTCCAGCAATTGTCAGCCTCTCCATTGTCAGTCTCTGGTACTGGGTGAGCCATGGCCGCTTTGGCCGAGAGGCGCTCCAGGAAACTGAGTCTGCCTGAGGGAACCCAGGGATGTAGTCCCCCTTAAGTAGATAGAATATGGGGTATATGGGGATCTTATTATAATACCCAAAGCCATATTAATTAGGGATGAGAAGGGCGTTGCAGGGGTCCCCTGCAAACTTGAGCAATCATACGGGAAATATTTTTAGAAACTCCCATTTGTGATGGGGTGTCTCGACATGCAGGATCCATTTGCGGCAAGAGCGATGTCGGCAGGCAGGGATTCAAGGATCTTTGTAATTTGCATAAATCTAGACAGCCAAATATTGTAGCCTCTGTTATGGGGACACCCCCAGAAAGGGATCCCCAATTTTGGGCAACCCGCAACATAGTCCCAGTTCCATTTCATCGTCCATGTTCTTTTCAATTGACTTGGCATCAGCGAGGGTAAGCCCTAAACCCTGAACCCTAAACCTAAGACTCTAACCTAAACCTTAAATAGAAGCTTCCATTTTCTTTTCCATTATTCCTTTATCCCGCTTTAATATCCCTAAACCCAAAAAACATTAAAAAATCATTAAACCCTAAACCCCAAACCCTAAACCCTAAACCCTAAACCCCTAAACCGCTTTCAGCAGACTCGGCCTCAGGCCTTTCCTGGATTATTTGGCCTGGCACTGATGGCATTGGCAGTCTATGCTCAAAGCAGGCAGGGGCTTTAGGGATTAGGGTTTGGGGTTTAGGGCTTAGGGTTTAGGGTGTGGGGCTTAGGGCTTAGGGTAAGGTTGGGGGTTTAGGGGCCAAGGGTGCAGGGGAGGTGTCGGAGATTTCTGAGTTCAGGCTTTGGATTTCACATCTTTCAAGGCTGCTTCAATCAGATGATGATGAAAGCGGACCACGGTCATACGAGACATAATCTACACTTCTTAGAGGGCGTTATATAAAGGATTACATAGGGGAATTCTATAGGGGATATTAAGGGGGATACTAGGAGTTTTAGATTATAGCTCACATGGTAGATTCAGTTCTAATAGGTAACAGTAGCAACAGTAATCCTTTTCAAATGCCGCTTTTTTACAATCCTTAGTTTTTCCTCATGTATACTCTGCATACTGGCAAAGTAGAAGAACGGGAGAACTCACCGGCAGCGGAGTGTTTGTTGTAAGGGGTATGGATGCGTACAACAAACAGACTTAGTGATAATGTTTGAAACAAGAACAAAGCATAGCAAGGAACAGTGAAGCCCCATGCCCCTCACCCGACCTAAAGCCTAAAGGTTTAGGGTGTAGGGTTTTAGGGTCCTAAGCCTTAAAGCCCCTCAAGACTGTATGCCTGAAAGGCAGTGCTGCTTGGATGAAAGGGGCGCTATTACAGTAACAACGGCCTTGTCACCCTAGAAACCACGAAACAACACCGAAAGCAAACAAAAATTCGAACGCCCTGAAGTCCTCTGAAAACCCTAAAAGCATGAAAGCCCTCAGAAAAAACGTGGAAGTCCTGCAGCCTAGAACCACCCGAAACCCTGAGACCCCACAACCATAAAAACAGATTTTTAGCCCCAATGTCGTCTAGAAGGGTGCGGGAAACATCCAGGCTGTCTGGCGCCGTAAACCAGAGCCAGGCACTCACCGGGTACGGTTCCTGAACTCCATTTTTTGTAAAGGGCATATGGTGCAGGGTTTAGGGTGTCGGGTCTAGACTCTAGGGTATAGGCTGGGTTAGGGTTTCAGGGTTACGGGTTCAGGGTTGATCATATTCGCTGTCGATGAGGAGGGCTGCAAAACAGAATGGAAGCTAACCCTAAACCCTAAACCGACTGGGCAACAAGAACCCCAAGCACATGCTAGACGTAAAAGAGTCGATGGGGCTGTAAAATGAACCCTGAACGGTTGAGGCTTTTAGAGCTTGGCGATTGCTGATAGGTGGCAGTAGGAAGGAGTGGAAATTGAAAATGGAGACCAATGTAGGATTCAGGATTTAGTGTTGGATTATGCCCCACTATAGTGGATGGTCAAATGGAAGCTCACATGGAAAATTAATGACGGAGTATTTGAAGCTACTTTGAATTTGATGGTTTAGCGATCGGGCGGGGCCCACTAAGTGGCCTGGTAGTAGGACTGAGTGGACAAGAAAATGGAAATGACTTTAGAGTTCACGGTGTAATGTCGGAAAGTACCCTACTATAGTGGATAGTCAAAAAATGGAAGCTCACATGGACAATCGTGTAGAGAATCGGAGAATAAAAGGTTTACGTGGAGATCCCTTTGGTAGCCATACTTACTGCTGCTAAGTAGAGAGGAAGCGAAAGGACAATGAAGATATTCAGGCTTGGGTTCAAGGTTGTTTTATGTACTTTAGGGGTTAAGGACCTACTGTCAATGTTTCTGTGCAGGAAAAGAACATGCAATCTATTATTATGGTGAATCAAGGGGAAAAGGAAATGGAAAACGACATGGAACGTAGGGTTATATAGGAGTTCATATGTGCTACTGTCAACATGAGCGTTGCCAGGGGAACAATAAGGATGGACATAGGGGCCTTTTAGTAGTTTAGTATAATCCCTGTTATATTCATCGAAGCTATGTGTATCAATTACATAAAGAAGTATTGACTGTCGTTCATCTGGAAGTTTTTCAATCCCAACCCTTTGTAGAGTCATTCACAAGTTTCTGCCCTAAGCCGCGCTGGTCCGAGGCTCAAGAGGGCTGCACTTCCCTTGCTGGTAGTTAGATGACATGGGATGACACAAAAGGGATCAATGAACTTAAGAGCCTCCGGCTCAGTCCGCCGACCCAGTGGCGGAGAAAGCACGAAAGCCTAAACGCGAAACCTTGAGGGTTTTCAGCGGCTGGCACGAGACCAATAGATAGGCGCAACAAGACTAGTCCAAGC